TCTAAGTGTTCATCAGTGGATGGATGGATGGATGGATGGATGGATGGACAGACAGACAAAGAAAATGTGATGCACATATATGATGGAATATTATTTAGCCATAAAAGAGAAGGATATCTTGCCATTTGCAACAACATGGATAGACCCTGAGGGCATTATGCTCCATGAAATAAGTCAGACAGGGAAAGATTAGTGGTTGCCGGAGATAGGTGGTGGGAGTGTGGGCGAAATAGGTAAAAGGAGGTCAAAAGGTGCTATTTTATAACTTCCAGTTATAGAATAAATGTCATGGGGATGTAGTATACAGCAGGAATACTATAATTAATAATACTGTATTGCATATTTGAAAGTTGCTAAGAAGATAGATCTTTAAAAGTTCTCATTAAAAAATTGAGAGAAAACTGACTGTCAAAGAAAGTAGCCTAGCATGGTCTAAAGACTCTAGCCATGGAATTGTAAGAGCTGAATTAAAATTAGACTCAACCACCTAACAGCCAATGTGCATTTTGGTGAGCCACTACTGTTTTGAATTCTCACTTTCTCCCTAAAATAGAGATGATAAGGCCTATGCTAACACATCTTACAAATGTATTGTAAAGCTCAAATAAATTGGTTCTTGATTATTCATGATCATGGGAATGCAAAAGAAGCATAAGCACCAAAAACCGAAAATAGTAAATTAAAATTCGTAATAATTGGTTCCAGAATACATTTTTGTATGCTGATTTATCCTTCTAATTATATTTGCTTAGGATAAAATTAATTCCATTTGTATTTCTTTAACCTACACCAGCAGATGGCAGGAAGAAGTAGCCTAGATAATTACAGCATGGTGCCAGAAGTCATTTTGGAATTTTAAAATTACTAAATTAATTGTCAAAATAGAAAATGAAATATCGATTTTGTAGTTATTTATCACTTCATACTTCGCTTGTCTTCAATGAATTAAAAGGTTTTTCACTAGTAGCTTTGATAAATGCTTTAGTCTCACTAATTCCCTATCTGCTCTATGTTTCTGCATCCCAATTTCCCCACATACCTTATATGCCAATCCTTACTCCCTAAACCCCATATATATATATATATATATGGGGTTTATATGGGAAATATATATATATATATATATATATATATATTTCTCCTGCCCTCTCTTTCTGCAGCTTCTACTTCTGAAATTAGCTCATTCTGTACCTCCCTGTGCAAGTTTCTATCCTTTCTCAGGATTTTTCTCAGCTGGGCGTAAGGGTATATATATATATACACACACACATACACATATATATGATTATTCAAAAAATTAGTTGACATTAGATGGTGTTTTCATTTTTAAATATACCTTTAATATTTGGACATTTACGACTCTCCTTGGCACCTTCTGTACTCGGTCCTCCATCCCACACATTAAGGAGGAAGAAAGAGGTGGCTCTTTTGCCCCCCTTGGTCCGACCATTAAGCCTGTTTAATAACTGGCTTACTCCTCGCCTTCGGCTGCAGTCGAACACCGCACATTTTGCCCTGCTCTCACCGCATCATATGATTTACTGTGTCCACACGCGTACGTCACCCCAACTATCTAAATGAATGTCCTGTAAAGTGGACCGGGGTGTCCAGCCTTTTGGCAGCCTTTTGGATTGAGCCACGCTGGAAAAAGAAGAGCTGTCTTGAGCCACACATTAAATACACAAACTCCAATGAAAACAAAAAAATCTCATAAAGTTTTAAGTAAATTTACGATTTTGCATTGGGCCACATTCAGAGCCATCCCAGGCTGCCTGCGCGCCGCAGGCCATGGTTTGGACATCCCTGGTAGACCATTCATTAAAAAAATATTTACTTCTGACCATGCTGGAGTAACTATCTAGTACCAGAACTACCTTCCCACCATAAACAACTGGAAAATGGGACATATATGAAATAAAATATATAAAGCAGCTCTGTCAGATGTCGAACAACAGCTGTGTTATCCAGAAGAGAAAGGATTCAAGTAAGGTGATTCCTGGAGGCGCATCACTGACCATGGACCGGAGAGGAAGAACGCAAGGAAATTGTGGCAATGTCAGTGAGGGGAGAAAACCGCCTTTATCGCTCATGGAGACTGCGGAGGCCAGAATTTATGGGAACATGTACTGGAAAGGAAGGAGCCAATCGGGGAAAGGTCCAGAAATCTGCAGAGAAGTCCCCTTACGTCTGTTACTAAATACTAAGTGGAAATACATAGAGAGAAACTCCACAAAGCTGGGCAGCTACTGGGGAGTTCTAAGCTGAACTCTTCTCAGAAATCATACCAGAATGGGAGGTGCTGGGTTCTAACCAGCCAGAGACATTGAACCCCTGGAGCATTCGGTAGAGATCCCAGAAGAAAAATGTGAATATAGGAAGGAGAAAAGTGGAAGATGTAAAAAGAACCAAATAGAGGTTTAAGAAATGAAAAATATAGTATCTGAAATGAAAGAGTCACTTGCTGCACTGATCAGTAGAGTAGACATTACAGAAGAAAGGACCAGTGTGCTTGGAGGCAGGAATAGACATTATCTAAATTAAAGCATAGAGGGGAAAATGACCGAACAAAATACGCAGTGGTCTACCCTATGTGTATCTGGAGTCTAAGAAGAAGAAGGGAGTATGGAAGACAAAATTTGAAGAAATAATAGCGGAAATTTTTCAAATGTTATGAAAACTATAGATGTCTACATCTAAGAATGTCAATGAACCCCATGCAGGATAAGCATAAAAAAAAAACTCACATCAAAGTACATTGTAGTCAAGTTCCTGAAAACCAGTTATAAGTAGAAACTCCTTAAAATCATCCAGAGGAAAAGAATACACATTACGTATAGGGGAACAAAGATTGATTACAGACTTCTCGTCAGAAACAATGACAGCCAGAAAAAATTAAATCTTTAAAATTCTTGAAACATAAACTATCAACATAGAATTTTATGTACTTCAAACATGAAGGGGAAACAAAGACAGAGAAACGAGAGGGGAAAGAACTTATCACCAGACACCTGCACGACAGTCAACGCTGAAGGAAGTTCTTTAGGTGGGACCACAAGGACACCAGGTAGAAACTCGGACCACCTAAAGGCATGAAGAGCCCCAGAAATGGTAAACACATGGGTGAATACAAAGACTTTTTGTCTTTTCTTAATTTCTTTAAAAGGCAACTGATGCCCTCGTTGGGTGGCTCAGTTGATTGGAGAGTCATCCTGTACACCAAAAGTTAGTGGGTATGATCCCTGGTCAGGGTGTGTATGAGGGACAACCAAGCAGTGTTTCTCTTGCTTGCTCTCTCTCTCTCAAGTGAATAAAATACACACACACACACACACACACACACACACACACACATCTCCCTTCAGGTGAGGATTAAAAAGTGCAAAAAGGCAAGTGACAGTTTAAATAACAATAACACTGTATTTTACAGTTTACATCATGTAGAAGTAGAATGCATGACAATAGTAGCACAAAGGTCAGGAAAGGGAAATGGAAGAATTCAGTTGTAAAGTAAATTACCTTTATAGGCAAAGTGGCATGTTTGAAAATAAACTGATTAAGTTAAAGATGTATATAGTAAACCCTAGATCAATCACTTATAAAAAAAAAAAGGAAAAGTGGTAGAGTTAATAACACACCAAGGTGAAGATGAAATACAATTATCCAGAAGCAACTAGGGGAAGAGGAAAGAAATAAATGAGTATTGTAATGCTGGGTAGAGATGTTGCTATGAAGAAAGCTGTTGGCAAGCAATGCTCCGAGAATGCTCTCCCATTTCTGTCTGCATGGTCAGGACTTTCTGAGCAAAGATTGCTAGCACCTAGATTAAAGAATGTTTGAATGTTCTAATGTTCAAATGACAGGCCCCGGAAGTCAGAGACCTCTGGAGAGATTGAGACTTCTCCAGACACATTGATTTACATTCTAGGACTGTAAACCTAGAGACCTACCCCTCGCCTCCCCAGGAGGGTTTATTTGTATTACAAAGCAAAGGTCAGTAGGTCTTCTCCCCTTCCCCCTTCCCTCCTCCCTCACCTTCCCAGTCCCCACCCCAGAGGGAAGGAGGAGCAGCAGCTGTCAGCTGTCCTATATAAATTCCAAAAATTCATTATTTTGAAGTTTCTCTCATCGTGTCACCTGGTCACGACTGGGACATAGAGAACTAACGTAATTATGAACAATTAAAAGGACATCTCTGATCCAGAAACCTAGTGTCTCTTGCCAGGATGAATGAATGAATGCTTAACAGAAATTAAAATAGGAAGCGGGTATCTCCTGTAAGGTGGCTGGGAAGGCCCGAGGAGGTAACAGTTGAGCAGAGACGTGAATGAAGTAAGCCGTATGAGACCTTAACGTGGGAGAAGACCATAACATACTCATCTCATTGGCCCTCCTGGGGCCTAGCACAGTTATTCACACATAAGCAAAATTTAAATAAATAAGAGTCAAGGATATGACACTCTGAAAGGCTGACCCCCTCTGGCTAGAGTATTGTTTTTCTGTTCTACAAATTCAAGAGTAGCTACATCTTCAGACAGAATGACTCTTTAGCCACAGACTTGTTATGTTAGCTAGGAAAGATCAGCTAGACTTCAAACTCAGCTAAGAACTGCTTCAAGCATAATTCATGTTTCATTTCCTTGAATAAATCTGGGTTAGGAAGCACAGAATGAAGTTTTAGTTGGGAGGCTAAGTTCTTTGTACAGAGGCAGCGATAGATATTAACTTGGTTGGAAATTACTCTCATCCTTGTAAATGTGACATATACAAATGCTGAGAAGAACAGATATGGGTGAAGAGCACAGGCAGCAGGAATACTAAATGAGTGTAATGAATTTTAATTGGGTCATAACTAATAGTACAATCCTTATTTTAGTTGTACAGTGTGTCAGAAGCGCGCAGCTAGAAGAAAGGATGCAGTGCAAAAGGCCAAGAGCAGCCTAGTCCTTGACCTTGGGCTGGAGCCAGCAGTAGTGTGACCTTTCGGGTCGAAACCCTTCTCACCACTGTTGCACCAGGTCATTCCTTCCGTTGCTGTGAATCATCTCTGGGAATCTGTAACAAGCACATCATTGTCAAGAAGTTGAAAGCAATGATAAGTTGTTCTGCTAACACCTGTCAGTGAAATAACTCAGAGCACAAAACTCAGGCATTTAAGGAGTTGACAAGTATTATTAAACCTGTTTTGCAAGAGAAGCAGCTGGTTCAAAGAGGGAAAAGCTGTCAAAGGCAATGCAATCAGTCAATGGCTCAGGCCTCCTGCCTCACGCAGCCAGCCCCTGACCCCGGGCCCTCGTGCCCCGGGAGACAGTGGGTCCATCCCTGAGCAGGTGTTGGTGGTGTTTCCTTCCTTCCAACTTTAAAATGTGGTGACCATTTTAAAGCTACGGCTATATCTTAAATTCAAATATATTTCTTATGACTGGTTTTCTCCGGGTTTTCGCCCTCATTCAGAAATGTATACTATTTTAAATTGTTAAATGCTAACAGCATGGTATTTCTACCAGTACCGCTTTCATTTTTTCCTTTGAGAAACTTGACTGTTATAAAAAAACAGTCCTTGGTCCCTGTCCTCACACAAGGGAAGTCCACAGTGGAGAGAAGAGAGAGGGGAGAGTAGGGCGAAGGAGCAGAAGGAAAAGAAAAGGAAGCAGAATTCCAAAGGACAGAGGAATTTCCGCAACGGCTAACTCAGTGCAGTGCCTGTGTTATCACACGTCGTTTAAACCCAGCCCCCTGCTCCCGCATCAAACAGGCACATGCTGCGCCCAATGTCACTCGCCCCCCACACACGTATACACCCCAGTGATAAGGTGGTGATACGTTTTTCAAGATTTCCCTTAGCTGATAACAAAAATACACTTGAGTCAAACCAGTGAATGGTGACCCAGATCTAAGTATATGAGAAATGTAGCGGAAGTCATAACTTTCTTTAGTGAGTCTTAGTAATTAAATTATTTGGCCTGTTTTTAGCCACCTTGGATATTTTTTTCTTTTTAAAGTCGTTATGAATGTTGTTTGTAGCCGCATCAATAAGCCAAGAATTCACATAGTTACTCAACCACACAGATTACTCATCATCGCCTGTTCATAACAGAATCCTAAAATGTTTAAGATTTCTGATGCAAATCAAAATCTCATCATCACTTGTCATTGCTAAATTAAATGACAGGATAATAACATTACATTAAAACCATTTTTCTCTTGATTGAGTACCATTTTCAGAAGTGAACCTTGTAGATGTATATTTTTTTCATCAGTACTATAAATGCATTTAGAATCTGAGCTAAAAATAGAATCGAAAAGGGGAGGAGTGGAGGGGATGTTTTCAAATTATTGATGAATCTCTTGAATCTCAAGTAACCATATTTGACAGTGCAGAGCTGGGGAAGGGAGTCGTGAGCTCAAGTTACTGAGACTTAGAAGTGCGTGAAGGAGGCCCACAGGTCGAACCTGGCCTTTATTGACACGGTCATGTGTCCCTGTCACCAGTTGTGCATGCGGCAACCCACTGCACACAGGTAACCCGCAGGAACCGGCACTGCTCCGTTCCTCTAACGTCCTCAGGTACTGGTTTCAGGTGGGCCACAGCCTGTGTGGGGAATGAATATAAGTTCCGAATATGCTCAAACGAAGTAGGTTCTCAGCTGACTTGCCATCTTTCTCAGCATTTCTTCTCCGCCTAAAGCTAATTAACCTGTTCGGTCACACCTCCCATCTCTCCATCTGCTCCATCGGGCCCTTGGCCCACTTCTGTGCAGCCAGTCAACCAGTCCTCCTGCCGCTGGGCCCCTCCACCCAGCACCCCTCTTCCAAAGTCTGCTGTCCTGCAAAGATTTTGTCTCCTCGCATCTCCCACCTTTGGCGTTGTGGGAATCCTATACTGGAGCACACCTTTTACCTTGGGCCTCATTTAACACTGTCTTCGTTAGGCAGTAACATTTCAGTAATAAATAACCTACCTGTGAAAACCCTCAGTTCTTGCAGAAGCTGATGAAGGTATAGACAGAGGCAAGACTGGCTCTGGGTTGACAATACTTGAATCTGGGTGATAGGTATAGGAGAAATCAATATTCTCTTTTCTCTAGTTTTGTATGTTTGGGGTTTTCTATGGTAAAAATTTAAAACCAAACTTAGCTCTTTCGAATTCATTTTTTAAAACAGGTGCTTTTTTTTTTTTTCGAGTCAGTGAACGAAATGGGTACTGTACAGGGTGGGTCAGGATGGACACCTGAACCTGTCAGCTAAATACCCGACTCCTAGCCCACCCTCAAGGAAGCAAAGAAGACTCTTTGTTGCCTGGAACTGCAACTTCTCTCTCCTCCTTGGGTCCCAGACATGCTTGCCAGACCCCTGCCACCCTTCCTGCTTCGTATCAAAGTGACCAGATAAACCTGAACAGAAACACATGTTATCTCGGCCCCGTTTATGAAGTTCCGCTGTGAATAGGCTGTGTGCCGGGCATCGAGAGGGGGAATGCGGAGTTACTGCGCCCTGCGGGTTCCCCGGAATGGAACACGGGCACCGAGAACACCCTGATGCCCTGCAGACGCTAGGACCTGTCATCTGGAGTAGCAGCGTTGCGGCAGCACAGGGCAGTGGAGGCAGGGCAGTGAGGGAGAGCGAGTCTGCCAGGCAGGTGCCTTCTCAACAGTGACGCAGACTCCTGAAGGTTCTCCAGACGGAAAAGGCGCCCGCCCCCCCCCCTCCGGCCCCGCTTCTGCTCGCAGTTCTGATTGCTTAGAGCTCCCTCCGATAACTCCCTCTTCTGAAGAACTTAAATTGATTGCAGCCACCAGTGTGATTTTTTTTTTCTGTTTCTTTTTAAATTATTATAGTCTTACTTCTCGCTTGCCAAAAACCGGAGAAACCATCCATGGACATAAGTTTTTTATTGGCTTCGGAGGGAAAGGCGCCAACCAGTGCGTCCAGGCCGCCAGGCTCGGGGCGAAGACATCCATGGTGTGCAAGGTGCGTGCACAGCACAGTGGAGGGTGTTCCAGAGGTACTGTGAGAGCACGGCTTTGAGGCTTGGGTTCCTCGTTTTTATTTTTTAAACTATTTTAAAGCGAACAACTCAGTGACGTTTAGTACAATCGCAGCGTTGTACAACCACCAGAACATTCCCATCATTCCAGAGTAAAACTTACATTAAGCAGCTCCTCCCCTTCCCCCCCCCCCAGCCCCTGGCAACCACCAATCCACATCCTGTCTCTACGGATTTCATCTATTTCTGAAGGTTTCCTATAGGTGGAATCATGTGATGCGACACTTTGTGTCTGGTTTCTCTCACTTAGCATAATGTTTGTAAGGTTCACCGGCCTTACAGCGTGTGTCAGCACCGCACTCCCTCCGTGGCCAAACAGCATCCGCCATGCACGGCACAATGGGTTTGTCCATTTCTTTGTGGGTGGACGCACTGGCCGTCTCCAGCTTTCGGCTGTTGTGAATGGTGCTGCTATAAACATCAGTGTACGTGCACTTGTTTGAATACGTGCTTGTTTCTTCTAGAAGTTCATTGTTTTTAAAATATTTAAATAGGAGAGAGTAGTCTTCCTTTTATATATATATTAGTTACTACCTCACTGGGAAGTAGCGGTCTTCAAATAACTTAATGCCCTGTTCCCTGGGTTGAATTGAGCTTATAACCAGAGTGTGAGAAGCGAGGAGAATTAGTCTACTCTGATGGGTTTTCTAGTCCAGCTTCAGGAGTCATTCTGTTTTTAGCAGGTTTCACTGCAGCCACACAGCTTTTGGAAACGTGGTTAAGTAACTGGCGATTTACTCCTCTCTATGTTCTTTTCCTCTAATGCTGTATCTTGGATCAGAAGGAAATCTGGGCCTTACAGAACTACACATCACTGATCTTTAGGCATAGTTTTGTTTTCTGGTATGTAAAGAAATGTCAAATACAGTATCCTATTTCCATCCACCTACTGAAATTATCTGAAAATAAGTAAATAAAATTGGCTGCCAAAGGTTCGACTTCTGCATGTTTAATGAAATTTTAAGATGCTATCATTACTGGTATAACAGGAAAGATAGTTCATTTATTTTAGGAAGGCTAGATTGGTTCTGCACAGTAGAGAATAAGAAAAAATATAACAAATGTAAAAGAATGAACTCTGCTGTCAACTGGGTAGATTTCACCAAAATTTCTCCGAAATGTCACTTCCCATTGCATACAGCACTTCCGCTCCACAGGAGTCTTTAAATGATGCATAAACTATATAATTATCACTTTATCTACTAATGAACTGTAACTTTATTTCTAATTTATGATTAACACGATTAATCCTTATCTGGCTATTTGGTCAAAAACATCTCATGAAAGCACAAGATTCAGTGTAAGAAACCCTCCTTTGCTAAGGTTCAGCTCTTTATACATTTAAAATATCAATCACTTATTTGGCAAGTAATTATTGATGGCCTGTTATGTGCTAGTAATTATGGGGCTTGGAGAGAGCACAATTAAAAATGTTAGGTGTGCCCTGGCTGATGTGGCGCTCAGTGGATTGAGCACGGGCTGTAAACCAAAGGGTCACTGGTTCGATTCCCAGTCAGGGCACATGCCTGGGTTTCAGGCCAGGTCCCCATTGCAGAGCATGTGAAAGGCAACCACACATTGATGTTCCTCTCCCTCTCTTTCTCCCTCCCTTCCCCTCCCTCTCTCTAAAAGTAAATAAAATCTTTTTTTTTTTTAATTTTTAAAAACTGTTAGGCCTGCCCTGGGTGGCTCATTTGGTTGGAGTGGCATCTCCTACACAAAAAATTGAGGGTTTTATCCCCTGGTCAGGGCACATATGTAAGCTGCAGGTTCAATTCCCCAGTCAGGGTATGTATGGAATAGATGTTTCTCTCTCACATCAATGTTTCTCTCTCTCTGTCTCTCTCTCTCACACACACACACACAAACACACAATCAATAAACCTACCCTTGGGTGAGGATTTAAAAAATAATAAATGAAAATGTTAGGCCTCATCCATCTTCTACTTGACTAGAAATGGAAGGTTTGAGGACTAATCAGATGGTGCTGACTTAAGAGGGTGTGGAAGCTGGACAGAGGGTATCACTTCCTGGCTGGGAAACCCTGGACAGAGAACTGGTCGTGGAAGCAGGGTACCGAGAGTGGCCATGGGGCCAGGGGAGGTCCCTAGAGCTGGGGCTGTGAAAGGAGAGATAAGAGAACCCCCTCTTGGAAGTTCTGTAAAAGCCATTCATTTAGCCATTGAAGCCAAAATTGGATGTCCCCTAGGATCTCATCCGACTCGAAGGTTTGGGGATTTGTTTTATTTTAGGTCTGTTGACTTGGAGGCAAAGAGAGAAATGAAAACTAGAAATATCTGAGTCGTGGGACTGCACTTGGGAAATGAACCACTAAGCCACGGCAGTGGATGTGAGAGGAATAGAAGGCAGGCCGTGCGCGGGGGCGTGTTCCTGCCAGGGGGCTGACTGAAGCACGGGCGCTTCTTGTTCCGCTCTGGTCTGTGTGTGATGGCTTGTGCTGGCGCCTGTCCGGCTTCCAAAGTCCTTTATGCCTGACCCGCCCCGACTTAGTGTTTAGCCCCACCGTGGAACTCTCCTGGGGATCGGCACCGAGGGGACAAGAAAACAGTGGCTTCAGCTAAAACCTACCTACACAGGGTTACTTCGCTTAGATAACCTGAGACATTTAAATGTAGATTTATTTAAGATTAAATAAATTGGATCATATTCTCAGACTTTGTTAACAAGAAAAACAAAATCTCTTTTCTAGTGGTAGTTATTGTTATCCATTCATCATGATATTTCTTCCCATTGTGAAATACATTTTTATTAAGCAAATTAGCCACACTGCTTTATGGCAGTTTTTTAAAGATGAAAAGTTCTGAGTAGAAACCAAAATCATGAAATTAATCAAGATAAAATCAAGCAGATGGAACAAAAAAAAAAAAAAAACACCAGAAAATTTCCTATGCTTTTCTTAGCAACATTAACTTACCTATCACTGCCCTGCAACCAAGTGAAACTCAAGTTCCGATGGAGTAAGATTATTTGATGGCATCTTGTTTACAAAACACCTTATATTGAGCTAAGGAGAAATATCTGTCAAGATACTGTGGCGAGGGGCTATGAAACAGGAGTCCATCAATATGCATACAGTGAAGTATGTATAATGAAACATTTCAACTAGTTAAGAGTTGTGTAGTTAGAATTTTAATTGAGTCATGGCCAAGGCTACAGTCCAAGGATAACTGGAGATACTTTGAGATTAAAAATCCAGGCAGATATAGAAAACCTTGGGAGGGCAAAGAGCCCACTGGGACACCTTTCATAGGACTCGCCTGAGTTGGTTGGTTAAGTGTTTCTTCTTCCTGCTGCCTTCCACTGTAGCCTAACATTAGAGAGGGGGAAGGTACTGCTGAAGTCAGGAACTGGCAGCTCGGGAGGCCCTGGCAGACTAAAGAGCTGAAGCTGCAGGGGGCCAGTATGAGCCCAGAGGCCCTGCTTCACGTGCAGGTGGAAGAAGCCACAAACAAGCAGAAACCCAAGTGCCCCAGATCAGAAGCCAGCAAACTGCGGGGGCCTTCGAGAAATTACCTGGCCATGCTTCCTTCAAACGCCGAGACTGAAGTCTCTGGTACGAGTAGCTGTTTTTTTTTTCAGAGCAGTCAGGTGCGAAGTCCTGTGACAGTCCTGTGACAGAGGTGTTCTGTGAGAGCAGCGCCCCTGCAAAGACCAGCCCGCGGCATCATAGAGCAAAGAATTTTAATTAGCTTGATAATAGCAGAACTGAAATTAGATTCCAGGTTTCTTCACTCCCATATGCAGCATTTTGCCTCATGACCACGATACTTAAAGTTTTTGTGTCAACTTGATAGCTAGCATGTGGCCGGGAAAACAGGGAAGCCTCCAAAGACACCTGTGAAGGTTCCTCTATAATAGTCCTCAGTAGTCAGGGGCCTTTCATTCACTGTGATTCCAAGACACTTGCGCTCACTCTGAATGGCAAGCTATGAATGACGCTATGAATGACAAGCTGTGAATGACAGGCTATGAGGAGCAAAAGCGTGGGTTCCGCTTCTCTGATTTCTGGTTATCAATTTCCAGTTACTGGGGAAGGGGCTTAAATTTGAGCCAGAAGTAAGCAAATGGGATTGGAAGGTGTTCACTTTTCGCACCATTTTTAAACACAAATCCAGAAGAAGAAACGAATGTGTGAGAGGTGTTGGGGGTGGGGAATAGGGGAGACGGCATTCTTTTAGTATCACGTTGCACAAGTCATCTGTGCGATCGATAACGCAGAAAGAAAAGGGGAATCATTTTAAATAGGACTCAGATCCCCATTGCTTTCTGTCCGAGCTCTGACATGTGACTTAGATCCAATTAAAGCTTAAATATGACTCCGAAGGCAGAGATGCCCTCCCACTTGGCTATACTATTCTGAAAGTAATGGGATACATATTACATTGCAAAGCATTAGTTTCACCAAAGGTTTAAAGATATTGTTACAGTTTTGCTAGAATACTAACATTAATAAATACAGCCTCATTTTAAAAATAATTTAACATGCCCACATGCTTGCTTCCATGATCAAATGCTCTTCTGTTTGAACACAGGAAGGACTGAAGCATCAGGGAGAACCAGACGGGCATGAAAGTAGTTCATGAGGTTGAACCCAAGCAGCAGGAGCCCTGCCCTTTCCCCCAGGAGAAGCAGCCTGATGATGATGATGGTGGTGGTGGTGGCGGTGGCACCAAACCCTTATTTAACCCTTTTACAGCTTTAAATATATTTTCATGCATATTATTTTAGTTTATCTACACAGCTAACTTGCTGTGACTTTCCAGATAAGGACACTGAGGCCGAGAGAGAATTTAAGTGGCTCGCCCGAAATCACACAGCTAGCGGGGAGGGGCTTCCATGACACAAATGAAAATATTGTCTTCCTCTTCTTCGGCTTTTCATCACTTCCTTTACTTTGTAATGAATCGCTACGACCTAGATGATGTAAAGGTAATGGAACTAGGGTTGGTTTCTCTTGATCCTCAGCAGTGTTGTTACTTTCCCATTATTTTTTAGTTACTGGATTTTTATTTTTGACAAGGGAACATCTAAGAAGGCAAAAACAAAGTATTTTGTCTCACATCTCACTTGGAGTTTAGAAGGCCAGCCAACAGACTTGCCAGGAAATTACCATTGGAATAAACCTGGGACCCTAACCATCACCAGGGGATGTAGCCAATCAGATGATGCTTTGAGCAGGAAAAGGACATCAGGTGATGCTCTGAGCAGGAAAAGGACAGGCAGCTACTGCAGCCTCTGAAATACAACTGCAGCACCCTGCAAACGCAGTTGCCCTGAGCATGGAATCCCTTCCCAGTCGTGCCTCGGATGCTCATGCTTTTATTCTACCTGCTATGTCTTATTCCCCTCCAATGTTACCAGTTTCTTGAAGTCAAAGCTGCACATTTTTTAGGTTTTCTTCTCCCCTCCAACAATTCTTCCTAATCCCTGCACATCTTAATGTTTAGTTCATTACCACCATTTATCACCTGCCCTTGTTATTCACCTTAAACAGATTTCACCTATATGAAACCTACAGGAAAGGGAAGAGAAGTTTCTTTGCTCTAATTTGTATCATACCCCACGTGCCTAGGGATGGCCTTTTCTTAATCCCCAGAACATTCTTATAATGATACTTTCCTAACTCTGTAACACCCTGAGTGCCCATGGGAGACAGTTAAATAATGTCAAAAACAAGTGAAAGAACAAACAACTTGTTTCTGCTGTGAATCTTCGACCTAAGAAAAAGGATGCTTTGGCAGTTACCTACTAGATAAATGAATGGCCAGCCTTCCGCAAAGGAAATCTTTGGTAGAAGACCTCCTGCCACTGGGGATCTCTCCTTACAGGTGCACTTTGTAGTGGACACACTTCGTTATAAAGACAGAGATTTTGCTAAGAAGTTTTTATATATTGTTTGAGATCATTGCCTTATCATCATTTGAGCCAGAAAAGGAGCACAGGCAAAAGTGTTCTTTGAGGAAGAAGGTACCAGAAGTGGAATCAGGGGTCAGTAAATTTGGCCCGTGGAGCAAATCTTGCCCACTACATATTTTTGTAAATAAAGTTTTATTGGAACACAGCCACATCCATTTGTTGACATTTTCTTTGGCCACTTTCACACTACAATGATGGGGGTGAATTGTTGCAAAAGAGACAATATGGCCCATAAAGTCTAAAATATTACCTATTTGGTCCTTTACCCAAAAAAATGCCCAGCCCCTGATCTAGACAGTCCAAAAGCTCACCAGCAAATTTTATGGTCACTCATTGAGGATCTCGACCCAAGTAAAGGTCTACATTTCTTTGTGTTGCTATATCCAGAGAGGAACAGTCTTCTATGGAAGAGCAGAACACACCAGGAGTGGCCCAGAGCTGGATGGAGACACAGCCCATTGATGGAGCGCTCAGTGCAGGACAGAAAAGTAGGAGTACAGGAATGATTCCAACTGAGTGACATTCTGGCCAAGACAAAACAATAGCAACAGTGAAAAGATCAGCAGTTGCCAGGGGCTAGGGAGCAGACAGTGAGTGATGAACAGAGGATTTTTAAGCCACTCTGTATGATCATAGAATCACAGATGCACACCTGTAAATTTGCCAAAACCCATAGAATGTATACCACCCGAGTGAACCCTACTGTAAACTATGGAGTTTGGGGAGTGTGTTTGATGTGTCAACTTAGGTTCATTGATTTTAACAACTCTGCCACCCTAATCACGTTGCCTATGAAAGGAAGAGGAATGCACGATTAAAGGAAAAACTGCAGTATCGTTACCAGAATACATGCCAGGATGCAAAAGCAACAGAATTCCACTATACCAGCTTAACTGGGGCTTTTTAAAATTGATTTGAAAGAAAGAAGAAAATAATATCAATTTCTTGTTCCATTTATGCATTCACCGGTTGACTCGTGTGTGCCCTGACCGGATACCGAACCTGCAACCTTGGTGCATCGGGAGCTGGCTCTGACCAACTGAGCGCTCGTCCGGGGCTAGCAAGGGTTTTTTGTGTTCCTTCCTCTTTGTGCTGCTCCGTGGCAGGGTCAGGGGAGAAGATACGATGCTAAAACACCAGGCAAGGCATTACGAAGATGCCGTCATTCATAGTGAAGCACGAACAACTGAGGTCCTGCCTACGTTTGAGGACTGTAGATGGTGGACAGCTTGTCGCACAGAAATTTTCACGTGAACAGATTGAAATGAGAGTGAACCCGGAGAACTGGTGCAAATCATTAAATGCTTCCTATTTTAGGCAGGATGCAAGTAGAACATTAGTATATAACAAGTCTTTGGGCTGCAATCAAGTCTTTCAACTCACATTAAGAAGATTAATTAGTTACTGTTTATAAAGTACTGTGCAGATATGCCCTTTCCAAATGCTAAGTATTCTAAAAACTACATTGTAGCATTTTCCTAAATGTAAAAGATCTAACGTTCATCCTTTCTTTGGTACAGGTTGGCAAAGATTCTTTTGGCAACAACTATATAGAAAACTTAAAACAGAATGGTATTTCTACAGGTAAAATTTCGCCTCTTTTAAAGTTGGTTTTTATAACTTTCTTCTGTGATCGATTACCAGAAAAGTTGAATATAAAATAGAATTACTAGAGCTTCCCCTGCTGACCGGGGAATTTTTATGCGCAGCTTTGTGTAGTTGCGCTTAAATAGCCATGGTTAATTCCCTTGGGTACCCCGCTCCAGGTGGGTACCCAAATAAAGTGACAGGAGGTTACAAACCTTCATCTCACAGAAATGTTTCAGAAGCAGGTAACAGGAGAAAATAGGGACTCGATTCACAAATGATATCTTAAGAAAAGCCACTGAGTATCATAGCTGGGAATCATTTTAGGAACCATTGAGGCTGATACGACTATTTCCCCCCCCAAAAAAAGAAAACCGAAGGCCAGAGAGGTTCTGCGACTGCCCAAGAGCACGGGCTGGTTGGAGCCACAGCCGAGGCTAGAAGGCGGCCTTTGGCTCCAGCTCAAGGCTCTCGCTGCTGCCAAAGGCTGCCTGATCGGCATTACCACGTGTGTGCCAGGCCCTCATTCCTGATGAGATGCAAAGCTTATGAGAAGGAAGAAAAACAAACACGTTGATTTTATAGGTTTGACCTTTCGTCTGTCATCTCAGCCAGTCATTTCTTTCAGCGGAGAAATATGGTAGTGCAGAAAAATGCATATGTTACAACTGTGAACAAGAGGGAGGAGTTGGAAGCGGGGGTGGTTTGCTGGGTTGTTACTCATGTAGAGAAAAGGTGCAACTAAGTGTAAAATCTTATTTTCCCCATTGTATAGGTGATGAGTATAAATTAGCACTAATTACTTATTTCTTTTTTATCATTCCAGATGGTTAAAGGTTAAAAAAGTTTTCTAAGGATTAGTGATGCATTGAAATTATTAAAATAAATGATCCATGCCAGGCTGTGAATATGTGATTTTAATTTCTTTTTTCTTTTAGAATTTGCGTATCAGACTGAAGATGCTGCTACGGGAACTGCTTCAATAATTGTCAATGAAGAAGGTAAGTGTTCTGCATTTGGAAGTGTGGTTTGATGAAACAGTTCGTTTCCAGAACTGGAGCGGAAGCATCGGTTTGTATCCTGATCGTCCAGATCTCTTGCCGCACGCACCAGGCCTCAGCCACGGCTTCCCGGCCCGAGTATAAATGTCCCCTCATTTACATGTCCCAGGTTGGTCCGATATGAAAGTGTCCATCCAGAACATGTGAAACATTATAGTTGCCTCAAAATAACATTTATATCCTGTAAAGTACATCACCCTCCCTGTGAACTCAGCACTGATATTTATCTCTAAAAGCAGCTTACATCTGTCGTTTCGGTTACACCAGGGAAATAAATGTAAATAGATAGGTGCGAAAGAAGGTTGATGGATCGTATTTATAGAATATTTACTGAGCAAATGGCAGCAACTAATTACTTCTGACTTGTCGTTGGTGTTCAGTTCTGTCTGCTCTTTAACCAGCCATCAAACCTCAAAAATCTGTGTGTACAACCATGTCTGTCACTAGGCCTTGCAGTAGCCAAACATTTGTCTTTGAAAAAGTGACTTCCCTTTACCCTCACGTCAAGTTGTCATCATTTCTGCGGAATATTTTAAGTATAAAACACCTCTGTAAGGTTTTTCAAATCAGAATTAATATTCAGACGGGCCAAGCATTGGGGGGGCCACCTGGAACACAGAACCTAGTGCATTGTGGGTAGTCAGCGTGCACTGTGCCACATTAGGATTTGTCACAACATGTCTTCCATTTGTAGTGCAGCTTCACGAGGTCATTTCTCACAGGGGACAGGATCCTCTTACCATCAGTGATCCCCAACTCTCAATAACGAAAAGAAGAAATCGTGTTCCACTTCAAGATAGTAGATCAAAGTTCTTACTCGAACAATAGTCTGGTTCATTACTTTAAGCTACCTTGCAGCTCATTCCCTGCCTTAAACCTCTTTTTTGTGTTCTAGTGATATCTTCATGTTCTGTTTCTGCCTTATCTGTGTACAAAATACTGCATTTTCGTGCAAAGATGTAATTTAATACTGTGTGGCGTGCCTGGTATGGCAGAGATGTCTGGTTCCGAGTATATGGGTAATGCCCTCAAGAGTACAGATCGTAGTGGAAGAGCTAATCCGAATGCCCAGCAGTGACAGTCAGCTCCTTTAAGTGAGCAGCACGGTAAAGTAAGGAGGCCAGTTCTGACAAGTTTAGTTGAGGTGTGAGTGAGCTGGCCACATGGCAGTGTCCACTGTACAGCTGTGCCTTCGGTTTGTTTCTCATCGACCAAGGCCAGGCCAGAAATGTAGACTCAGAGGTCAGCAACGCAGAAGCAGCAGCTGACTCTAGCAGAGAGAGTGAGGTCACTGAGGGAGGAAGGGAAGGAGGTATGCTGTCTTTCAGCGTGTGAGTACTGTGAATTTTTCCAGGACCAAGACTGGGTTTATGCTGAGCCATCCCCACTTTGTTAAGTCCTCCTTGCGGCCAACAAACACATCTGTGGTAAGACGATAGGCTCGCATGTGTTCTGCATTGAGAGGTAATTTTAGGTCATGTGTATATAACAGCAACACGAGCAGCCTGCAGCACAAAAATGCTGCTTCAATTAGTCCCCTTAGGTCAGTGCTGTCCACTAGAAACATAATGCAAGCCACGTACACAGTTTTAAATTTCCCATGAGCCACATTCAAAAAAGTAAACCAAAGCAGGTAAAATTCATCTTAATATATTCCCTTAACCCAGTAGATCCAAAATATTATCCTTTCAACATGCAATCAAAAAAAGTCCTTAAAAATTACTGAGGAAGTTTACCTTTGCTTTGTACTGAGCCCTTGAAATCTGCTGTGCATTGTACAAGGAGAGCAGACCCCATCTCGGACTGGCACATTTCAGGTGCTCCATAGGCATGTGTGGCTCGTGCTCGTGACTGTCGTGTTGGACAGCACGGCTCTGGAGAGTGCACCTGGCAGGTAAAACGTACCGCCACACCTCCCACATTTCGAGGAGATTATAGAGAATGAGTCCAAGTGATGCGTATACAGGGTAGGGCAAAAGGAGCTTTACAGTTGTTTGTCTGGAAAATACAGTAATTTGTAAATAATAATACAAGTGGACATTCTCAACTGTAAACCTACTTTCGCCCCACCCTGAACAAGGTTCCGTGGTCCTGCTTCTGTTTGGTCTGGCGCCGTCCAGGCCACACGTCCTTCTCTCTACCTTAAGTGACTTAGCGCAGCTCTTCATCTGCTAGATGTTATAAACTGTGTTTGGGTTTGCAGAATCACTGTGCAGAATACCCTAGGGTACACCTTGAATGGACTACCTGCTAGAGAGGATTAGTTCTAATGCTCGGCAAGTTTATTCCTGTTTGTACTCCTCATTACGACATCTGTCATTTAGGATTAAGAACCTTAACCACATGCGTTGTACCAGCCATTTCCCGTAAGAGAAAATTTGAAAGTATGTTCTATATCCTTTCTCAGCTAACATTCTTTGTATGTAAGAACATTGGGGAAATCATTTTTAGATTTTGTTCAAAACAATTAAAATAATATGAATCTTACGGAGACACTGTAGAAGAAGCTACCTTAGGAATATGAAGTGTAACCCACATGGCCTGGAAATGTTAGAATTGATACAACACATTTCACGTCATGCCTTTGTAAGACTGACCGTAACACTGCAGAATATCACTGCTTGGCTTTGCTTGGTTTCAATATAAATACGTAGAAATCTTTCACAGGCCAGAATATCATCGTGATCGTGGCCGGAGCAAACCTACTTCTGAATTCTGACGACCTGCGGGAAGCAGCCGGCGCCATCAGCAGCGCCAGGGTGGTGATCTGCCAGCTGGAAGTAACGCCGGCAGCGTCTCTGGAAGCCCTGACGCTGGCCCGCAGCCGCGGAGGTAGCAATTTCACACACTCGCCCTTCTTTCTATCAGAGCTTTTATCTCTGTCTTAGAGTTAACCTTTTAAGCCAAGCAATACTTTTCTGGGGTGTAAACTATTCTCCTTCCATCTGTCTTCTAATTCTTACAATGTTAGAAAACCGAATGAGCGGGGTAAAAAGAGCATGGGCCGCGGCTCGGATGTCCCACGGCCTAAGTCTGCGGTCTAGTTAGAGAAACAGCGCCGCGGTGACTGCAGCCTCCGAAGCAGCCCGCCCGCCCCCGCCGTCCCAGCGGCACTCCCGGCGGCGTGAGGGTTCCGTCTGGAGGAGCGGAGCTAAGCGGCATGTCAGGAGTAATCCCTGTCCAGGCACACACTGATAAACAGCTCCGCAGATGAAAGATCAGTTCTTTCTCTGCTTTTACAAAACTTGACCTTGTTTTCTATAAACAACAAAGGATTAGTTGTATGTAATATTTTCTATGTAGTCAAGATCCTTTAAGCAGCTCTTTTGTGTTGTCTGGCCTTTGATTTTGGAAATTTTTTTAGCATGCAAAAGCAGGCAGAACTGCACACTGAAACCCATCCCCAGCTTCAACGTTATCGACCCTTGGCTAATCTTGCTTCGTCTGCTCTCCCCACCCAGGCCCCTCTCTCAGCCCCAGCACAGGACTTTGAAAACTCCAGATAGTTTCTGTCTGTCTGTGCTGTTTCCCTGTGGACCAGTGGAGAGGGCATCTTGTGAATCAGAAGCCCATTTCTGATCCTTGCTAGCCTTGTGGTCTTTGCAGAACTACCTGACTTTTCTGAGCCTCGTCTGTCAACTGCATATACTCCCCTGCAGAATTGTTCTAAGAATGGAATAAAATAAAATATGATGCCAAGCTAGTGCAGTAAGTTTCAGTAAATTCCCATTTTCTTCTCTCTTTAAATTAAAATTTGGATAATATCCTGATCAGCACCATCTGTCCAAAAAACAAAATAAAAACTAGCCACTCTAAGACAATGGCTTCTTCTTGTAATAGTTCTATGATTTATATTAAGAAGAACATACAGAGAGAACCACATTGCTTTTTCTGATAAAACTTTCTCATCAAGATACAATAAAAAAAGAGCTCTGTGTGTATGTGTATGTGTGTGTGTTTGTGTAAGTGATTTCTCCCACAGTGTGTAGTGTCCTACATAGAAATAAATGGAAAATAAGTTACTGATATGATTTTGCGGAGAATTTTTAAATGTATGTCCTGATTTAACAAATTTTCCTCATGGCAAAACAAGATGCCATGACAGATTCTCACTGACATTTAATGTGTGTCTAACGGACTCGAAGTCAGAAAGAACTCTAACCTAAACCCACTTGGTTACATTGTGTCCGAGCGTCTTGGGGGCGATGCCAACGGTAAGCACTCGCTCTCCGCGCCGCACTCATCCCTCTCGGCTGATGAGCGTGCACGTGCCGCCTCATCGGGCTCCTGTCTTTCCTGGTTTAGATCAGAGTGTATTCTCATGTAACTTCTCTTTTTTTCCTGCTACCCCTCCTTCTCAGAGATCACTGCTTCCTCTGTCCTAGTCTAGCTACCTGTTCCCTACCCAGCTTGTGGAGGAGAGAAAGGTACAGCCACCACAGCTGAGGAGCCAGACTTGCACAGGTGAGGCTAGAGTCACCCAGATGGGCAGGCAGCCTGACCTTGGGCTGGCGTGTGGGCGGGGTCCAGAAATGCTTCCTCCGTCGCCTGCCAGGCAGCTGCTCCGGTTGAGGAGCGAGAGGACCAGGGGCCCCAGATGGGGGGCCGAAGACCACTTAGCCTCCTTCGTGTTTCTATGAAGAGCTAGCATGCCTAAGTGCTAATTCTGCAGTATCTTACACAGTCATACTGGAAGTAGTAGTACCTTGCGTTTGTATGTACTTTACAGCTCATAAACACTTTTGTGTATATCTGATCCTCAGAAAAACCGTATGACAAAGATATGACAGGTGTTACGGTCAAACCTGAGTTCTCCAACGACTCCCATCTCGAACAACTTGGTTCTCAGCCAAGTTGCTCACAGAAAAAAGTCTCAGTTGTCGAACAAAACTTCGGTTCTTGACCCAACAACCTTTTCATGATGATACCTGTATTTCTAATGGGAAAAAATGGTTCGGTTTTAGAACAAATCACTTCCCAACCACCTTCCAGAATGAGTTAAGTTCGAGAACCGAGGAAGCACTGTGTTCCCCAGACTGAAGACTGAGACTCAGAGAGGGTCAGTAATTGGCTCAGCCAAGGTCGTATTTTTAGTCAGTGTGGAAAGCAGGACTTCAGGCTCCAAGACCCAAGTTCTGCATCCTAGGCCACACTTTGAGTAAAGAAACCTTAAAATCCCTGTGATTCCTAGTAACTACGCCTTTATGAAGACTCCCCCTCGAAAGGTAAAGTCCGTGAACTGTAACGTTGTCCAATGTGTAGCCTAAGCTTTGAGTGTCTTGCTGCTCAAGTCACAGAGCAGGGACCCGAGAGTGTTTTCAGCTGTATGTCCCCCAACTGCCACCGTTAAATACACACACACATAGACACATGCACACACATACACACACATGCACACATATACACATGCTTCTCTGTCCAGAACTCAGCCAGTGCCCGCTGGGTAGTGACCAGCCAAACGCAGCTGAAATTCTACACTGAGAGCGGGGCCTGTGTGCGTGAATGTAGCGCACCTTCCTTCTTACATAAGACCGGTACGATGGAAGGAGCCCCGGTGTGGGAGTCACGAAGCATGGCTTTGGATTCAGAATCGATCACTTTGCAAATGGGGGACACTAGGCAAGTCAGTCAGTTCTGTGTTCTGGGAAATGAGAATTGGACTCGGAGCTCCCACCATTGTTTACTGTGACGACGTGTGACTGGAATGACCACAGGGCAGAGCAAGCAAAGCTTAAAGGCCTGTTGCGCGCACTGAACATCCCTCCCCTTGCCCCACGGGACTGCATATATGCTAATCGCGTTACTCCATTACAAGGAAGATGGTGAAATCATCACCCTCATCACCATCTGTGGGTTTCTTACCACAGTTCCCTTATCTGCACTACTCGACTAAGAATGGAGTTTGAATTAAACACACTGTATAACTAGCTCATATATACACAGGGAGAAAACCCGTCCATCTTTGTATATACTGTCTCGGGATTCTCTTGCTGTCTTTACCCAAACGAAAGCAGTAATTTTAAAGAGACAGCACCTGCAACATCAAAAAGGAATTATCAGCCCTCCAGAGTCCCCCGTCCTCTCCAGGTCGCAGTGCTGCGAGGTAGCCCCACAGCAGAGCTGGTGCTGCAGCTGCTCGTGATGAAATTATGCGAGTTGGTTCTGGTCTTTATATCCATTTCAAAGCAAATGAAACATTACAGGAACAATTATAAATAATTGAGATTTGTAAAATCGCCAAGATTAAATTCTAGGTAGGACACAGAATATCTTTTAATGACACTTCAGGTCTTTCCCATTTGCCGAACAAAATTCTTGGCTAGCTACCTGGACTTTCACAATAACACCGTGTAGCACATAACCCAAACTTTGAGTGTTTTTTTCTGTTAAAGTCACAGAAAAGAACCCATAGAGTGGGAAGCGGCCAAGCCAGCCTTGTGCGCACTCCAGCCTCTCCATAGTTGCTCTGCTTAGAGCGATTTCTTCCCCGTTGCTCTGAGCCAGTTCCTGGGGCCTTCTTAACTGTGCGGCCACTGCCTTCCACGGGGACATTCAGAGCTTCTGCCTCATGTTGCTGTCTTTGCACCTACACAACTGCCCCCCTAGGCCTCACTAGTTCCTCACCGACGTTACTGTGCCAGCCATTGACATGCTGTTGGGACAACCGGGATTGCAGTCCATCTTACCTTGTGATGATCAGTAATTACTGTTGGGTGCTGTCAATCACCTTTGCAGCCCCAAGGTGCTCCGTCGTACATCCTGTGCTCTCTCTTCTGCATGGCTCCAGGATAGCATCCTTCTTTCCCATCTTGTCTATTAAAAATTTGCATTCTTCTTTGATTGACTGCATTTACTACACTAATTCTTCGTGTTTCTTCTTCATGGTGAAGTAGGTATTCTTATTTATGGTAGCATGAGCCAAAGAGAGACCTTTCTTTACGGCATTTTCACTTTTCCCCTAAATTTAGTTACTAATCAGACCCTAAGCATATATGGCCAGTTACTAGTGGTAAGAATGCTTTCCCCCAGTAAAATACAAGCAAGTAAGATTGGATTGATTTTTATACAATACTTATGGTCAAATTAAATTGTAGAATTCCAAACTCCAGCAATTATTGCTTAAAAACCAATGTAATTGGTTTTTTAAGAGTTTATTTATTTATTTTTAGAGAGAGGGGAAGGGAAGGAAGAGAGGAAGAGAAACATCCATGTGTGGTTGCCTCTCGCATGCCCCCTGCTGGGGACCTGGCCTGCAACCCAAGCATGTGCACTGAATGGGAATTGAACTGTGACCCTTTGGTTCACAGATCAGCACTCAATCCACTGAGCTACACCAGCCAGGGCTGTCTTTTTTTAAGTTGGTTTTTATTGTGGAAAACTAAATACATATGGATACTTAGAGAATAGTATAGTAAATCCATGTCTACTGTCATGAGCTTCAACAATTATCAACACGTGACCTATCTTACTTCATCTATACCCTCGCTCTCCACCCCCCACTGCAACCTTGGACTATTCTGAAGCAAAACAGACATGATATCATTTCATTCACAGTGTACTTATTTTTTATGTAAATATGTTTTGCGAAGGATGTCTTTGCATGGTGTACAGCAAGTAATTTGGCCAGATTTTTTTCCCATTAGCCTTTTGTAATTAATCGCTTACTAGTTTGAGTAACTTCTCAAGACTTTTTTCTCTTCTATGTAAGTGTATGAATATAAATACACATATATTGGGTTGGCCAAAAAGTCTGTGTGGTTTTTTCTGTAAAATAAGAGACACATTTTTCATTTTCACCAATAGCATTATTGATTTGGGTATTTTGAACATGTCAGCTATCTCCTGCGTGGTACCACATTGATTGTTATCAATTAATGTCTTGATTTGATCGCTATCAACCTCAACTGCCCTACCCGACTGTGGAACATCGTCCAGCGAGAAAGCTCCAGCACGAAACTTCACAAACCTCTCTTGACACGTTCGATCAGTCACAGCACCTTCTGCATACACTGCACAATCTTTTTTTGAGTTTCAATTGCGTTTTTACCTTTCTTGAAATAATACAGCATAATATGCCAAAGTGTTGCATATTTTCTTCTATCTTCAATATGACTACACAAAAATTCCCCAATTCTGATAATTTTTTAAATGCACACTGACATAACAGCTGTCACAATACAATCTAACAAAATTGTTTCAAATGAAGTTAAAGATAACTAAGTACTAACAGACCCATCGTATGGAAAAAAGCTTTTGGCCAACCCAATAGTTTTGTTTGTTTTGTTAAAAAAAGGGAGGGTATCATATTCTATAGATTTTATTACAAAACTGCCTTTATTCATAAATAAACTATAGAAATCCTTCCATGACAAATCAGAGATCTGCTTCATTCGTTGTCATAGCAGCAGAGTGTTCCATTGGGTGTATGTCATAATTTCCTTAATCAATCCTCTCTGCTTGATGCATGGGTTTCCCTTTGTTTTTGTTCTTGTTTTTTGTTTTTGTTACAAACAGAGCTGAGTGAACGTCGCTGTTCCACATCTTTGGCTGCCTGTGTGTTTCTGTAGAAGAGGTTAAAAAAAGGCATTGCTAGATCAGGGATCTCTCACGGCAGAATGGAACTTTATAAAAACGGCCCTGCCCTGTTGTTCCGTACCGGTAGCTTGCTCTAGCCTGTGCCCAAATGCTACTTAGTTGCAAATTTGAGGGTCATGTAGGTGAGCACTGGTGTCTCGATTTAATGCTTAAGGAAAATAGAGAGCACTATATTTGTTCTGAAAACCTAAAAAGCAAATGGGTGTGTTAGAGTGCTGGGCATAACTGACATCTCTAAGACCTTGCAAAAAGCAGGAAAGCCCATGAGAGAGATCCTTGCCAGGCTACAAACTCCAATAGATGGCAGGAGAGATGGGTGGACAGGTGGGGGTGTCCGGCTCTGTGTAAAGGACAATATAATAACAGTAATAATCCCTTGCATTTGTACAGCGCTTTACATTTTACACAGGGCTTTTACATCCATTTCTAATTTAAGCTACACAATAACCCCGTGCAAAAATATGAGCAGCCAAAAATAGACCATAGAATTTCCATGGGTGGACATTCTGGACTCTAAAATAATGAAAATGTGGGAATAGCATTATCCAGTAAACCACTGGGCAAGATCCACCGACTGAACCAAAATGTAGAGATCAAAGGTACAGAAGCAGAACTTGTGGATGGTTTCCTTTAGCCGTGGGCTGGTAAGCATCTCCCCAAGAACCTGGAATGGATTGCTGCCAGGGGAGCTATGGAAGAACCACTTGGAGAACTCGTCAATGTTCCTATCCCCCAACCTCACCCCAAGAGGTGCTGATTCAGTGGGTTTGAGGTGGACCCCAAAGTCATGCATTTTATTAAGCTCTCCTAGTGGAGCTGATGTGCAGCCAAGTTTGGGAACCACTGTTCTGGAAGAGTCTCTGAGGATTTACCTCTATGGATCTATGGTAAATTGGGGTTACTAAACCCATATATCAGTGGACCTGGGTAGAGGAAAAGAATACCAACCAGTCTAGCTGGGTACACTGGCGTATAAATATGTATTTTGACAAGGGGGAACTTCCTTTGAATATAATTTCTAAAGACATTCAAAAAATACAAAGTCTCACACCAAAGGCTGTTTTAAAATATTATGAATTGGGATTGGAGGCTTGTGTTGCTGTGAACGGAGCCCTGGCCTAGAGAGGCAACCATTTTAGAGACAGTCAAACCCTGGACTTCAAGCTGAAGGATCCCTGGTGGGGATCCAGGTGACCCAAGTCCCGGTGATGACCGCAGACTGTGACCTCTGCTCTGAGGCTCACTGTCCTCCGCTGAGAGAGGTGATGGCCGTGCCAGTCTCATGTGGCCTGTCTCTGCTCTCCCCACCCATCCTCCTCCCGCAGTCTCCTAGCCTGAGCGAGCTCTCAGCCCCTGATGAATTTCTCCTCCTTTCTGCCTTCCCTTTATGTTCTTAGATTGCTTACAGAGCCAAGAATGTCAGCTTTTGTGTAAGTGTGTGTGTTTGCGTGAGTAATTCTGACACATTTAGGAGACACGCATAGGGGTTCAAAATATACATGTGTATGTACGTGAGTGTCCTACTTACTAGTCTTACCAGGAAAATTTTGAGCGTCATTGTTTCTGTTCTATCATCTCTTTTTTTCTTTCCTGGAAAATGGACTTAGGAACTAGCCTGCTGAGCACTTAAAGTAACCCACAAAAATGTTCACCGGGCTGAACATTCACATTCATACATGTCCTTTCCTGCCACAACATTTAAAATCTTCTTTGATCCTCTTGTTGTCCTTTGCCGTAACGTTGTAATCACCTTGGTTGTAAATATTGATGCTTACCCTTGACGCTGAAATGTTGTAGAGTGAAGAGTAGAGCACATGGAACTAAGAAGGGGTTCATACTAGACTGTCACGGAGACTGAGATTTCGTATCACTAAGCTGATTTCTGATCTAATGGGGAAAATGGTTGTACTTGGGGATTTCCCTTATTACTGAATGTGTCTGCAAATGCACCACATTAAACATGGTGAGCACTGAACCCCTCCTCCATTCCTTTGTAGTGAAAACATTGTTCAACCCAGCTCCTGCCGCTGCTGACCTGGACCCCCGGTTCTACACCCTCTCAGACGTGTTCTGCTGCAACGAAAGTGAGGTAAGGACAGACGGTCTCGCTCATTCCGTGAGAAACCAAAGACTGTCATGCAAGTGGATAGAGCAAAGAAGCAGGACTAACCACATCAATCTGATTGCCTGTGAATTTCGGGGCCCAGTGAAAACAGACTTTTCAGTTGACAGGGGTGAGGAGAAAGGAAATTAAGTGAGTTCTGGGGCGAAAAGGATTCCCTGAGCCATCCCCACAACCTGGCACCTAGCAGACCTCAGCTAACTTGAGTGCCCTGCCTGCCCTCCCACCACTGGGGTTTTGTTTTCCTTTTTATCAGCCCATAGCCTGGGGGTCTGTGGTCAAATATCCTGTGGACCGATTAGTATTACAGTTGCCAGATTTAGCAAATAAAAATATAGGACAGCCAGTTAAATTTGAATTTCAAACAAGGCACAAGTAATACACTAAATGTACTCATACTAGAAAATGACCCGTTGTTTATCTGAAATTCGAATTTAACTGGGCGCCCTGTGTCTGATCTAGCAACCCCAGCTGACGTACAACCCCTGGTGCATTTGCTGTGTTCTGCCGGGAAGCTCCCGTGACCACACTCGTGGGCAGGCACAGGTCTTCCGTCCGTGCCATGGGAAGGCCGTGGGGGCCGCTCCACTGGGGGAGCGCCGCCCAGTGCAGCTGAGGGTCCTAATTTACAGATCTGCAATATATATCCATCAGTATATTCATATGATGCCATTCATTCCGAAGTAGTTTAGGAAGATGATTTTAATATTTCTCCCTTTTATAGGTAGATAACTTTAGACCAGAGCTCTCTACCAACATCGGGTAGAGATCTTAAATTCTTGCTTTAAGATACTCCCTCTGCAGGACATATTATACAAGGCAACATGCAGGGAGACAGAGTTAATAATAATGAAGCATAAGGTCATTTTCTATTTGGTTCGAAGGCTGAATGACAATTTCTAGGATTTCTTGACCTGCCTTTTTGTGAATTTCATCTCTTAGAACATAAAGTAAACAAGCAAGAAGTCTGCCACAGGAAACTAATTTTAACCACAATATACTATGCAATATTTTTGAGCAACCACCATGGCCAGGCTTTGTACTAGGAAAAAGGAATTGTGCGAGACTGGGACCATTGCACAATAAGGGGTTAGATTACCATCAACTGCCAAACGGCCTTGGGTTTCCCTGCTGGACACTTACAGAGCAGTGTACTTATTCTTCCAGCACTAACCACAGCTCAAATTCCTTGCCCCATATTTCTGTCTTCTCCATTAAATTACCATCCTGTGCAGGCAGGTATACCTGCCTTATTCTCTGTTGTATCCCCGATGTCTGTCCCTATGTGTATAGTTACCTATTGCTATGTAATACAATAAATCACCCCAAATTTTAGTGGTTTACAACAGTAATTATTTACAACCCCTCACGGATTCTGTGCGTCAGGAACTGGCACAGGGCGCAGCATGGCTTGTCTCTCCTCCGTGACGTCTGAGGCCCGGGAGACTCAAAGGCTGAGAGCCGGAGTCATCCGAAGCCTCCTTCCCTCACCTACTTGCTGTCTGATGCCGGCTGTGGGCCAGGACACTCACACGAGGCCTCTCCTGTGGCCTGGGCCTCCTCGCAATGTGGAAGCTGGGTTTTAAGATCCAATATTCAGAGAGAGAGGAGGGGGTTTCTAGGCAGAACACATGTTGGCTTTTATGACCTAGCGTTGGCAGTCACACAGCATCTCTTCTGACCCGTTCTGTTCATTAAGACAGGCAAGTCCGCCCTGGTCCCCCACCTCTCGACAGAATTTTGTCCTTGTCACTGTGTGAAAAAGATCATGTGTGTTATATATGTTGACACAGTTAACTTTATAAATTACTGTCTGTTACGCTCTACCTGGCTCATAGTTGACACCTAGTAAATGCTTATAGAATGAATGAATGAACAAACCCTGGTCTTTCAGGAAATTGATCTGAAAAATGTGATGGAAAGAAAAGTTTACAAGCTTAACATTCTTATGGGTGACTTTAAATCCGAATAATAAAGTAAATTCTTGCTTTAAGATACTCCCTCTGCTCCACACACAAACCACCAATAACATAAATATAAAAAGAAATAAGGAAAAGACACTCACAAGCTCGGAACAACTCCAGAGACTGGAAATGGAACAGCCCTGGGTATGCTTGCTCCAGTCCTAGAAGCAGGTATTGTGGTCGGGAGTTTGCCTCCTATGAATTGTGGGCACTAAACGTGGGCCGCTCGTGGGAGCCTGGAGCAGTGCCCACTGCCAGAAACCAGAGCTGCTGCGCTCAGGCTCCTCTGCTAACAAAAATGGTGCAGGAAGCTGCTACCCCTGCTGCCGAGACTACACCTGTACAAGACTCCGAACCTGTGAGATGCGAGGACAGAGATACTGCCTCTGGTCAGGAAAGAAACGAGGCCAACGGCCAGTGTACCGCCCAGCTCTGGTTTAGAGATTGTTGGAGGCCTGACGGATGTAGCTGGGAACCCTGCACGGCAGGGAAGCCACATGGGGAGCTGAGGTGGGAAGGCTCTCCAACTCACAGTGAGCAAAGTGAGCCCGCAAGGGAGGAAACGTAGTGGCAAATTTTCCAACAAAAACAATCTAAAGGTGAATTTGCACAAAATGAAATTTAAATAAGAAAGCAATGCAAAAAAGTCTTTGAAAAATAGGATTACGATTGTCATTCATTTAAAAAGGAGAATTGTGAAAGAAAAACACAATCAAAACAGTAATGTATGAATGTGAAAACCAATCAGTTAGAAGAAGTCTTGAAAATGAAAAGCAGTCATTAAAAACATTTTAAAGTACTTACTCATCAGAAATGTGAACATTAGACTGAAATGCAGAATTAGTGAATTGAAAGAAAATCTTGATCAACTCTCACCTAGAAGTAGAAAACTCAATGTACCTAGAAAGAAGCACAGGGAAAACTATTTTTAAATATTAAAAAGGAATTTAGAGAACTACAAGATGATTTGTGAGGCTCCAGCATAGGTCTAATGGGAGTGAAAGAAGAGAACGGAGGGACCCGAAGAGAAGCCGTCCTAGAGGGCGAACTGGAAGGTGTTTTCTAAAAGTGAAAAAACGCACGAGTCCCCAGATCAAAAGTGTATTAAAAGTACTACATGAGATAAATAGACATGACTTTCTACTAATTTATATTTAATGGAACTGCATCAAATTAAAGGTAAAGACAAAAATATTTTTAATAGCCAGAGGGAAAAAAGACATTACATATAAATGATAAGAATATGCAAAACTTTATTACTGGTAAAAGGAAAAAAATGAAAAACCAAGTATCCATGAAAAAGAGAACAGATTTTGTTTCAAAACAATATATTTGCAATATGGAATACTGTGTGGATTCAGGGGGAAAGGTAAAGCTACATATATCAACATAATTTAAATAATGTTAAGGAAAAACACATTGCTAAATACCAGTAATATATGTGGAAGATATCATTTACCTTCTTTAAATAGAAATACCTGAAATGAATAAAGTAAAATGTAAAGGTTTTTAAAGGAACACCCTTGTACAAGAGTATTCATCACATTATTTTTTATGGTCAAGGTATTTTGTCAAAGTATAGTTTTTTTAAAAGGTTTTTAGAAACCACAAGTCAGTATTTCTCAAAAGAGACCAACTCAACAGACATACGGATCCCAGTAAGAAAATCTATGAAAAACTTATAAAAACAAAAAAAGAAAGTGACCTCAAGCATAACCACTCAGATTGAAAAGGTCTTGAAAAAAAGACGGCAACTTCCAATCAAGATGGCAACTGGCAGACATGAATCGCCTCTTTTCACAACTGCATCAAAATTACAACTAAAATATAGAACAACCATCACTCAGAACCGTCAGAAATCGAGTTGAATGGAAGTCCGACAACTACAGAATTAAAGAAACCACATTCATCCAGACTGGGAGGAGGGGCGCAGATGTGGAATGGGCTGGTCCCATATCCACATGTGGTAATAAAAATTCAGGAAGGGTTTTTCAGGTGTGAGGAGTCTTAGCCCCATGCCAGGCCCCCAGCCCAGGGTTCCAGTGCCAGGAAGATAAGTCTCCACAACTTCTGGCTGCAAAAAAACAACCAGTGGGGATTGCATCAGTGGAAGAAACTGCTAGAACCCCAAGCAGTTCCTCTTAAGGAGCCCACCCATAGACTCACCTACTCAGACTCACTCCTTCTGGGCTCCAGCAAAGGAGCAACAGTTTGAAAGACACCAGTGTTATACGGGGAGAACTGAAGTTTCTGGCATCAAGGTGAGCAGAGGCCAGTGTCCCTTTTCTAAACCCTCCAGCCACAGAGCCAGCAAGCTGTATCGTATCTGAGACTCCATCAACCTGACCAACACTGTTTGACCCGCCTTGAAGATCCCCAGAGACTCCATCCCAGAGACTCCACCCCACCCACCCAAGCTGCTTTTCCATATGAATGGTTGGTCTTTGCCCTTGCTTCACAACTTCCCAAATCCCAACAATCAAGCAACAGCTGGCCTCAGGCAGCCCCAGGGCCGGCACTAGCAGCAGCCAGGCTAGATTCACGGCTTGGCTTCTCCTGGGAATCTCCAAGCCCAGCACAAGTAGCAGCCATCTCAGATTGCTCTCTAGCTCAGGCAGGTTGTTCCCAGGCAAAACACAGGTGGAGGCTGATCTTGGCTTTTACCACCTGGAAAGCCCCAGGGCCAGCACACCCAGTGGACAGCTACAAGACCACATCAGACACCACCACCCTGCCCCTGCACAGCTGATCCTCCACAAAGGGTGGAGGTTGATGGTAATTGGTCACAGCCAGTCCTTGCAGCTGACTATCCTGGGTAAATCCCTCCCATTGATCGGCCAACAGCAACCAAGGCTCAACTGTACGAAAAGGGTATACTAAACCCACATGAAGGGCTCCAAGTACCCAGCCTCGGTGATGGGGGAGCTGCACCACTGGACCATACAAGACACCTACTACATTAGGCCACACAACCAAGACACAGAGTCAAGGCTGCTCTACCTAATACATAGAAACAAACACAGGGAAGCTGCCAAAACAAGGAGACAAAGAAACAGGGCCCAAGTGAAAGAACAGATCAAAACTCCAGAAAAAGAGCTAAACAAAATGGAGATAAGCAGTCTATAAGATGCAGAGTTCAAAACACTGGTTGTAAGGGTGGGTGCTCAAGGAACCTTGTGAGGACCTCAGTAGTGTGAAAAAGATCCAGTCAGTAACAAAGGATACACTAATGAAATAAAGAACAATTTACAAGGAAACAACAGTACAGTGGATGAAACCAAGAATCAAATCAATGCTATGGAGCACAAGGAAGCAAAAAACAACCAATTAGAACCACAAGAAGAATAAAAAATCCAAAAAAAACAAGGCTAGTGTAAGCAGCCTCTGGAACAGCTTAAAGTGTTCCAACATTTGCATTTTAGGGCTGCCAGAAGGAGAAGAGAAAGAGCAAGAAACTGGAAATTGATTTGAAAAAATAATGAAAGAAAAATTCCCTAATTTGGTGAAGGAAAGACATGCAAATCCAGGAAGCACAGAGAGTCCCAAAAAAGATGGATGCAAAGATCCCCATTCCAAAAGACATCATAATTAAAATGCCAATGGTTAAAGATAAAGAGAGAATCTTAAAAGCAGCACAAGAAAAGCAGCTAGTTACCTAGAGGGGAATTTCCATAAGACTATCAGCTGATTTCTCAAAAGAGACTTTGCAGGCTAGAAGGGATTGGCAAGAAATATTGAAAGCTATGAAATTCAGGGACCTACAGCCAAGATTGTTCTACCCAGCAAAGCTATCATTTAGAATCAAAGGGCAGATAAAGAGCTTCCCAGACAAGAAAAAATCTAAAGGATCTCATCATCTCCAAACCATGATTATATGAAATGTTAAAGGGACTTATTTAAGAAAAAGACAAAGATCAAAACTATGAACAATAAAATGGCAAAAAATACAAATCTATCAACAATGGAATCTAAAAAACAAGGTAAGCAAACAAGAACAGAGACAGAATCATGGATACAGTGAGCTTCTTTTTTAGATTTTATTTCTTTTTAGAGAGAGGGGAAGGGAGAGAGAGAAATATCAATATGTGGTTGCCTCTCACATGCCCCTTACTGGGGTCCTGGCCTTCAACCTAGGCATGTGCTCTGACTGGGAATTGAACCAGCATCCTTTTGGTTCACAGGCCAGCACTCAATCCACTAAGCCACACAAGCCAGAGTGGATACAGAAAGCATTTAGATGGTTGCTAGATGGGAGGGAGTTGTGGGGAGGAATGGGTGAAGAGGTGAGGGGATTAAGTACAGATAGGTAGGTACAGAATAGCCATAGGGGTGTACAGTACAGTACAGGAAATGGAGCAGCCAAAGAACGCTACGCATTGCCCACAGGTGGGAACGATGGTGGGGGAATTGCCTGAGGGAGTGGGCGGTGCTGCATGGAGGCGTGGCAAAGCGGGGAAAATCAGGATAACTGTAATAGCGTAATCAGTAAAATATAATTAAATAAGAAAAACATTTAAAAGATGGTAAGAGAGGACATGTTCAAGTTTAATGAGACCTGTGCTCCTAGGAAAACTGAAGCCCAGAACGAGCAGACACTGTGGGAGGATTTACAGGAGACGGACAGACAGGGTAGAGCTGGGCATCATCTGAGCAAACACAGGAAGGGCTGGAGCCATTCTTAGGAAGAGACAGTACCCGGTTAGACGGCAGCACAGAGAAGACAGAATTTGAGTCAAAGAGTATCATACAGTTCATCTAGTTTTCTGATTTTTTCAACCACCCATCTCAGAACCAAAGAGGCTCCTCAGAGAAGCTGCTCTGGGGTGCCCGGGGATGAGGAAGCGGGGCGACAGCCCGTCACCCCTGCTTTAGCCAGAGACCTTTCCACAGCATATTCTAGGACAGAACCGCTGATCCCGTGCAGGCCCCTCCTCTTCTAAGCTACACACGCCTGGGGACAGTCACAGAGCTAGTGAGTAGTGGAGACCGAGTGTCGCGGCATTTGTTACTTTTTCTGCCACCTCTCAGTGCCTGTCCTCCTCTGCCTCCATCCCCTCTAGAAAAACGAACAAAGGAATGGTGGTGTGTGAGCACGGGAAGCTGTAACTAGTGATATGAGAAAGGCACGCGGCCCAGGAGAGGCCAGGAGGAATGTCGTCCTTACAGGTGCAGTTACAGCTGTGCCTCCTCCGTGAAAGGCACGGCCGTGGCTCCTTCCGGTCTCCTGTTCTCCCTCCGCTTTCCTTTCTCTATTTGGTAGGATTCCCTTTGTTCCCCTACCTCTTTATTATGAAAATGACTGTACCTTCACACAGAAAAGCTGAAACAGCAATACAACGAATACCCACCCTCTTCCCCTGAACAGGTGTTAACATTTTGCTGTATTTCTTTTTCTGAGCCAGGATCTGTCCGAGTTCTCCATGGCATCGGTCATTACGCAAAATAAGGGAGACGTTTCCTAGCAAAACAAATCCAGTGTGGAGTGGACCCTGTTTACTTTTCTCACCCCTGCTTCCTCGCACTCTGTGTCTTCCAGGCTGAGATCCTAACCGGCCTCCCGGTCGGCAGCCCGGCGGACGCTGGGAAGGCTGCGCTGGTGCTCGTGGGAAGGGGCTGCCAGGTGGTGATCATCACCTTAGGCGCTGAAGGATGCGTGATGCTGTCACAGTCGGAACCTGTTCCGAAGTACATTCCCACGGAGAAAGTCAAGGCTGTGGATACCACGGTAGGTTCTAAAATGCCAGAATCATTCGGGGCCCTTGCAATCGTCATGTAGTTACTGAGATACTGCCCTTCGGTTGCTGGATCATGAGGTCATGGCTCCAGGAGGTGACATGGTAGAAGAGAAAAAGAGCCAGGCAGGAGATCCATATCCTAATGCTTCCCTAACCCACTGTGGAACTTTCTACAAGTCCCTTAAGCTCTCTCAGCCTCAGTTTTCTCATCCATAAAACTGGAATAGCAGTACAATGATACCTGTATTGCTTATATTCATTCATTCAATAAATATTTATTGAATACCTACTATATGCCAGTAAATAGTGGGTGCTGGGGCTATAGTGACGAACGGGACAGTTTCTGCCATCGAGGGTCTTAGATTCTAGACAACAAACAGATCGCCAGCTCGAACGGGCTTCCTGTGGAACGAAATAGCGAGGAGCGCTGGTTAGCAGAGCTCGCTCTTTCAGCCAGCAAGTAGTAACAGCTAACATTTACTGCATGCTCACTGTGTCTCTTCGGTGTACTTCTCATTTAATCTGTACGATAATTATATGAGACAGGTACAACTATTATCCTCACTTTACAGATTTAGAAACACGCTCAGGATCATGCTAGGAAGTAACGGAGCTGAGGGTTCGACACTGGGCCTGGGGGCACTCCGCAGGTGCTTTGTGCATAAGGCGCCGTGGGAAGGACAAGCGGGTTAAGGGGACACGTCATGGCCAGCCGCAGAGCACGGATGACAAGGAAACAAGTTAGAAAAAGGGCTCAGGGCTCCTCTAAGGCTGGGGAAATAAAAACGGTCTCTTTTTTTTTTTAAGATTTTATTTATTTATTTTTAGAGAGGGAAGGGAGGAGAAAGAGAGAGAGAGAGAAACATCAATGTGTGATTGCTGGGGGTTATGGCCTGCAACCCAGGCATGTACCCTGACTGGGAATCGAACCTGTGACACTTTGGTTCGCAGCCCGCGCTCCATCCACTGAGCTACGCCAGCCAGGGCAAAAACGGTCTCTTTACGGCCTGGAATGCAGAAGAGCTGACTGCAAAAGTAAGCACAAGTTAGGAACACAAAACGAGAGGAAGAATAAAAATTTTAGAATTTTTATTTATAAGAAACTGCTGTATAATTATTAACAAAATATGTTTTGGTTTTATGCTTAGAAAACACTTTAAAATGTGGGTCATTTATCAAAAAAAGAAGCCTGAGAGGATCCGATGAGGTTTGGGATACAGACACACTTTAAGAAATAGACAAGTGCAAGGCGTGCTGTCACAACATGAAATTACATTGTCACTGCCCTTCAAAATGTGCTTCATCAGGTGTTGGGCAAATTGTACTTGACGTTGTTGCTCTCTTCATACTTAATCATTTGTGAAACCGTTAGTTTTTTTCTGCTTTGTCAAGATGGACAGTAACCTGAATTTGAAAGGCTTCTTATTAGTTCTGAAATTGATCCTGCATTAGACTGAAACTATCCCAGGTCCTGAAACACAGCAGAAGAGTTTAGTCTTCTCCTGCTAACCGTTAAATCAAGGGTCCCTGTGGAGATGCTGGACTCTGTGGGTTCCCAGGAGCAGCCCAGACTCGGCTCTCAGTGCCGGCCTCAGCCACGATTCCTGTTGTTTGCTCAGAAGCACCAGGCACACGGCGCACGTGGGCTCACACAGTGCAGGGGATTTATTTGGTGCACGTAACTGGGAAGTTCGAAAGTGGGGCAGAATGCGGAGGCCAGCCTGTGTCACTGGCACTCACTCGCCCTCTCCCTATCAGCTCTGCCTGCCTCGCAGTGGGCTCTGAGCTCGGGCAGGGCCTCCATGTGATGGGCCCTGGCAGCTTCCTGCCACACCATGCCCCACATCATGCCTCCATCTCTGGTGCCAAGTGAAAATCAAAGAACTCTTATGGGAGGATGGGATGCTGGTCAGAAAAAACAGCAGTGTTTTGTGCCTGCCACAGAACACTTGTATGGAATTGCACTGCATGGGCATGGGCCTCGATCATGAGGGAACTACCCCGGGACACGTTCGAATTAGAAGCGATAGTAATGATCCTCCGAGTAGTTTCCTGTTGAAGGATTGGATTTCATAGATCATGAGGGATGGCAGCTGTGAGCATCTTCAACACAGCAATGTGCACGAAGGAAGTTTTCGCTTTGCTCTGTGCCCTTTTGTCTGGTTTCCCAGTACTTGCTGCTAAGTTTTAGGTTTCAGAAAAGGTGAAACACAGTGAGAGTCCAGGGGACAGACAACTTAACGCTCAGAGGCACGAGACAGAAAATGAGGTCAGGAAGACCAGGGCCCTGGGTCAAGGTCAGCTGGTTTTTTCTATAAAAGGCCAGGCAGAAAAGTTTTTGGTTCATGGGCTATATAGGAAGACATGCTGTCGCAGCTACTCAACTCGCATGCCCTGGCAGCACCAGCGCAACATAAACAGCTGTGCACCGTCGGCACTAAGGTGGCATTCAGTTACCGCTGGATTGTTTCAAAGTTAGGTTGCTAATTGGAATCACCAGTGCACTCACTAGGGCAAGAACTGAAAAAGGAAAAAAAAAAAAACACTAAAATGAACAAGTGAATTAAAATGGTACATTAGAAAATATCTAACATGAAAGACCTAGTGATGGAGGAACAGAGGAATAAAGAAGCTACTGGAAGATATCCTCTTGCAAGCTGAGTAATAAAGCTAAGACAGTGAAAGGTATGGGATCTAGGATCCAGGCGATGCAACATAGCAGAGAAGTCAGGGATAATGACGTCAAGGATAATAGAGAAAAGTTCCAGAACAGTAGCTGTGCAGCATGCTCATAAGCATTCAGTCCAGATGAGAGCAGGTGAGTGGAGGGCTCTAGGAGGAGGGTCTCCCAGAAGAAAAAAAAAAAGGAAAAAGAAAGAAATAGTGGGTTATTCATTGGTTTGAATATGCCCAGAGATTTTTAGTTTTCTTGCAGAATTTGAGGATGTAGTAATTAATATGTAGAAAACTGAGGAAATGTTTTAAAAGAGGAAAATTTTTCCTCTAGGTCATCTGGAGTATAGGGGGGAAAGTACGATTAAGGAAATATAATCTCAGTACACCACATGATTATGAATTCACAGTCAGAACAATGTAAGTGCCCATTATTGGTCTAACCGAAAATGGAGCTGCCAGTCAGACTGTGGAGACCGAGAAAAAGTGAGTGTGTGTTTGTGTGCACGGGGGGAAGACGGGAGAACGACATGCTCGTGTTCCATAGTTGGAAGTCAAGAGATAATATCTGAAACTGATTTTAAAAATAGCGGTATAAAGCATATTACCAAAAATAGAAGATAAATACCAGGAGAAACAGCTAAAGGAATTTGAAGTATTTGCCTCATGGAAATGGCTGTGGAGGGAGCTGGGGCATTTGCACTTGAAGTCTTGTCATTTTACACCGGGTGTACGGATGGCTCCGATGCCTTTTAAGTGAAAAAGCACAAGGAGGTGGCACATCCCATCCGCTAGGATGGCTGTAATCAAAAAAAGACAATGACAGGTGCTGACGAGTATGTAGAGAAATTGGTACACGCATTCAAACAATGCTGGTATGAATGAAACATGGTGTAGCCACTTTGGAGAACAGTCTGGAAAAGTTTCAAAAAGTTAAATTTAGAATTAGTTATAATATGCCTGAGCAATTCAACTCCGAGTATATACCCCAGAGAAATGAAAGAAAGTCCACACAAAAACATACACACAAATGTTCAGAGCAGCATTATTCATAACAGCCCAAAATTGGAAGCAACCCAAACTTTCATCAACAGATGAATGAAAAAACAAATTGTGGTACATACTGTGGGGGAGGAAGAAAATTTCCTTTACCCTGCTAGGTTCTTCTGGCTGATCTAAATAATTAAGTCAGCATGAGACAGAGTAACAGGAGAAAATAACCGAAATCAATTACACATGTATGGGAACTCCAGGTACAGGAGAGGTTCTGAGACAGAGACTTGAGGTGAGGGACACTGAGCCGATGACGCAGTCAGCCACCTGGGGGCTGCAGAGGGGAGGAAGCTGTTCGCAGGATGGTCAGAAGAGCAGAGAGTCAGTAATGAGAAGTTTGCCCTGCCCTGTAGAAGAGTCATAAAAAGTTACTCCTAGTAATAACTCTTATTATGGGCAAGGACCCAAATTTAAGTGTGTTAAGAAAGAGGTAAAATTTTCTCATGAGTCCACAGGGTGTTGACCGCCTTCAGCTCAAAATAATTCACCTGCCAAAGTAGCACATGTTGAGGAGGCCTGTTCTGCACCCCTTCGATACATAAAACAGAGTAGCATTCAGCCATAAAAGGAATACGGACACATACTACCACATGGATGAATACCACAACATTACACTAAGTGAAAACAGCTACATGTAAAAGGCCATGTGTTCCATGCTTGCATGCACACAGAATATCCAGAAGAGGTACATCTGCAGACACAAAGCAGGCTGACAGTTGCCAGTGCCTGGGCAGAGGACATGAGGGAAGTGACTGCCAGTGCGTGCGGGGTTCCTCTTCAGGGTGATGAAAGTGTCCTGGAATGGTGGCGGTTGCACAATCTTGCGGATACACTAAAACCACTGAATTGTGTGCTCTTTGAAAGGGTGAACTTTATGGTGTGTGAATAGTATCTCAATTTAGAAAACGAAGGTCAAAAAACTAACAAAAAGATCCATTTAGGCACTTCACTAAAGGACAGGTCTGCCTGTGATAAAGAACCCTCCGTGTAATTGCTGCACCGAACCCACTGAATGGCTCCCAAGGTCCCCTGGTGGAGCGGAGGTGACACAGGAAACAAGGGTGGTTATTTTCTGGGAGTAGAGTCTCCGCCGGCTTTATCATGCTACCTTTGTCCTCTCATCCGGCACTCTCATTATTAAAATTCTTGCCTGTTCTGCGCACAATTGTTCGGCCTCTTCTTACGGCTGAAAAAGAGGAGCTAATTCCCACGGGGAGGTGAGGGACTCCCAGGGGGCATTTTGTTCCGATCAGCGGGCTCCTTC